TTTTTTTTTTTAAAAGAGAGAATGAAAGTCAGAATTTCAGACTGACTGATACAATTAATACTTATGTTCTTTTGTCAGGTTCTACTCATATTTTGACACCTAAAAGACTACTGGATCAAGTAAAGAGCCTTACTAAACCGAAGGATATGGTTTGCATTAAGGATGAATAGAAATGGTGATGTTTATCATGTATTAGGAAAAGACAAATAGTATGTACATATTCTTATGGAATTGATTTTTCTAAATACTGTACCAGGACACTAGATGGTTCTGACTACTGAAATGTCACTTTATAATTTAAATTTGCTGCTTTTTAAGGAGTAGAAGGCAGAGAAAGGAAGAAATCAACAAATGTGTTTCTTAAGTTCTCTTTTGTATAGAAAATGTTGCACTGTAAATGCCTTTTCAAAAAGGCATGTTCATTCCTAACAAATTATGCTAAAAGTTATCATGATTATATATAAACTGGAATTATTTTTGAGAACTGTGAAACCTTTATAATAGAGTTTATTTCTAAAAATGACTGAATTAAAAATGACCTAGGCTCTTAGGTAGAGGCTTCAGAAGAAAACTTGTAAATATGAGCTTATGGTAAAAATATTTCACACAAGTGCAATGTCTGAAACTAATATCTTCTGTAAAACAACTCACTGAAAATTCTTTAAATATATGTAACTGTGAAAAATCAGAAGGGTTTTTTGGTGTTGGGTAATGTAGAAAGTTAATCACAAAGGTACTAAGCAGTTCTAATTTCAATAAATAACTTTGGAGAAATGCTGTCAACTGTGCACTGAAGTACACTTTATATATTACTAAAGCTTTTAAAAAACCAACTTAATTTCTTGCAAACTTCCTTATGATTGTGTCTACATATTCCACCTGTTTTATAAGTTGGATTGCCTGTGATATAGAAGTTCCAAAATTAGACCAGATCTTGGTCTAACTACCATAGATAATAAAGATATAGTTATCTATAGATATGTTGAATGTGGACAAGATTAATAGATGACTAAGAGGAAAATCAAAGGTATGGAGCAATTTCCATGTCCAGAATGACTGGAATAGGATCTGTGATCAAGGGGAGAAAAAAAGGTGATGGAGGAGTATGTGCTAGAAGCCTCGAAAAAATCATGTTAGTGTCTAGAACGAAGAGAGAACATGTTACCTTCCTATTCAGTGTGTGAAGTAACACATGAAACTTGCAGTTATCTAATTCAAAACAGCAGAACCTTTAGCATGGGACGTCGTGCAGTAGTAACACGCTTTAAATTGTTATATGAGGGGAAAAACCTCAACATATGTGAGAGAAAAATCTTTATAGGTCTATTAATATAAAGACTTTACTGCTGATTTGGAAGGTCTCTTAGCTTTCAGTTTGTCAGAGAGTGTTCTGAGGAAATGTCACTACATATTTTCTTCTTAAATATGTTCTTTCTTTAGGCATTTGCTGTCAGGCCCAGGACAGCAGTTTCAGGCAGTGACCCAGGATAAACAAAATGTCTAGCTGTTCTTGTGTTGTAGAAAAATTTATATGGAAGAGATTAATATTTTTTTTTTTTTTTTTTTTAACTGGATCTAGGAAGCCTACAGCAATTACTTCAACTATTAAGTTCATTTGCAAAGTAGTAACAGGGACATTCCAGACATTAAGCTTGCACAGGGGAAGTGAGCCTTTCACTATCCTGTGCTGTTGTCTTAAGCTAAATAAAGCAAAAACATAAATAATAAGCAGAGGCAAACCAAGTTATAAGGATATACAGTAAGAGCCAAGGGAGAAAAGAAAGATTAATGGTTTTATTGGCTGTGAAGTGTGAAAGAAGCCCTGAAAGGCATTGGCTCAGGCTAGTAAATCAGTGGTACACAGCAGCAAATTTAGTTATCACTGCTTGTGTGAACAGAGTCTGGATTATCTCTTGTATCAACCAGCTGAGGTTGACAGTCCTTTTTAAGCAATGCACTGTCACTTCTCACTTGAAGTGATGGTTTCCATCAGTACTGTGGAATTATTGCAGTGAATAGCATCCTTGATAATACAAGACTGTTAATTGCTGCTTGCTTTTAATCACCGCAGTTAAATGCACTTCAGAAGGAAAAGAATAATTACTTTTTTTGGCCCACTGTATTTCTACAGTATTTTAAAATTTTCCAAAGTATTTACCATCAGCTAAAATCTCAAAGCCAAATATGTCTGACAAGGTAAGGATGCCACACTGAAGAAACAGACAATTGTTAGGAACACATAGACAAGAAATTGCATTACTCGGTTACTGAGACATGTACAGAAGTATCTTAACTCTCAATGTAGGGCACTCTAAAAAACAAAATAATTACATATGTGAACTGAGTTGGTATGTTAGCATGATGCTTATAGGTGTCCTGGGTGCACAGGGTGTTTCCCTTTGTGCTTAAGCAGCTGTTGTTAAGGTGTGGGAATAAAAGATATGTAATAATGACTGAGATTTATTCTCCTGTTTGGGGGTGGGGAGAAATAAAAAGTAAAAAAGTTAACCTTGCTTGTATAAACCAATTTTTATTAAGCTGTCTTAAGTGAATGCTTAGAGAAGACAACTGTACACAGTAACAGGGGTTAGCCAACATACTGAAGACTTCTATCAGTAAGTAACTAATAATTACTTACGAGTAATGTGTTTTCTAGTTCTGAGACTGAGTGTAAACATGTGGAACACCAATATGCTCTGGTTTAGTTTAGTACTGAAAGTTGAAGAACATCTGGCAAAGTCGGCTAGCTGACTTTCTGATATTTGTATTTATCATTTTATATTTGCAGAAATACTGACACTTCAGTAGGAACCAGCAAAACAATATAGCATGTGAAAGTGGGTAATTAAAGCTGCTTTCTTTGAACTTTAGCTAGATCTTCTGAAACTGCTCGTACCATTCGTTCTGTAGCTTTCTTCAAACTGTTCGCTGTGTGTATGGCATGATCCAGAGTAGAACTTAAAATCTGTTGGGAATAATACAGTATAACCTTGTTAGTACTGAAGGCAAATCTTTACATGGGTATAGAATAGAAAGTGATGTTTAAGGTTCTATGTAGCATTTTCAATCTGAATACATGTTGAGAAGGAGAAATTCTAAGTCATGGGATATACTGCTCCAGGATCCAAGTTGGAAGCATCTGTTGCTTATTTCTCTCTTTAGTTGTGTAATCTTTTGAACTGAGGGATATTCTAAAGTAGCAGCCCCATTGTGGTGCATGTTTATTGTATTGAGAATGTTTTCTTTTGTTTTTGATAGTGGTTTGTATGGATAGGGTGATGTTATTTGTTTCAGTATATGAAACATGATTCCAGAAGTAAGATCCACGGCTCCTTTTCTGTCCTGGGACTAAAAAGTCTGTAACACACTCATATGAAGTAATATACTAAAATATAAGCTAAAAGACTTGGGTTTTTTTACTTTCTCCTGTCTTATTCTCAAATGGACTAGACATACTTAGATTGTAATAATCAACTTGCTAAGAATAGGGATGTTCAACAGTGTCATGATGTGGAGATGCGCCCTTCCCAAGACAGTTGTGTGACTTTAAATTTTCACTGTGAAGTCTTACATTTGCATTGGAAGCATTGGCATTTCTGTTTCTGATGTTGATTGTAGATTTGCTTCGGGCGGGCTTCTTGCTGGGTAAGTATTGATGTGAAAGGACAATTTTATCATATGTGCTTGAATAGCAGGTTTTGGCAGCATCAGAGTTTTGCCTAAAGATAAAACATGTAGAATAAAATACAAACAGTTTTACAAAGCAAAAGTTTCTAAACTGTGAATTAAATATATACACTTTGATAGGTGTATATAACTCATTTGCAAGTTAATTTTACAGTGACTAGAGTTTTTCATTTAATTGTAAAACTGTCATAATTTGTGTTACGTCTGTATTGCACTAAGAGAAAATACGTCAGGATGCAGAGTCAGGAAATCTGTTAAATAGCATCACGTTCTTGGTGCTGTAACCTTCTCTCACAGAAGGGCCTAGGCCATTGATTCTCAAATGTAGCTGCTGTGCTTCCATAATTACTGCTATTGAGAAATGCTGTCAAAAACTACGGTAACAAAACTTGTCTGAGCTTCATTCTAGTCTGTGCTATAGTTAACAATCCACTTTACTTCAGACCCCCAGTGTAATTTAATGTTAACAACAGTTAAAAGTAGGACTGTTACCTAGAAAGAAATAGTTGGTAGTAAACAGAATTGCATCTTAAATAATACAGAACTGCTTTTGAATCTGAATGGGAACATCTTAATAGTGACTTTTTTTTTTTTAACCGAATGTGTCACCTAAAGAAGTCAGATGTTGACTCTTCATTAAATTAGAAAGATTGAAGAGCCATTCTAAAAATTATTTACACTTGCTGTTAAGGTAAATATTTTAATTTCATTATTAATTAAAATTCTAATAATATAGCATGCACTGCAAAAGGTAAAACATTCCTCCCGCTTATGATACTGGTGATTCCATGCTGAATCTTCAACAATGGCATTTTCTGTTGTACTACATATAGTTATTGGTACAGCCTACCTTTCAGAAAATCTGTTTACAAGTCCATGTGACTGTTTATTTTTTTGAGCTTTTTGAGTGAAGATTCTCTTCTGTGCATAAGCTGGAGTCGTTGAGGCCATGTTTAAAACAGAAGGAAAAAAAAATTATATATATTTAACATTTATGTCTATATAACATGTCTATATATTTAACATTTTTCTCTATTTAGCATAAATAAAAAATCAAGTAACTATCACTGATGAATTAAACTTGAATATGTTTTAAGATTTTTTTGTAAATGAGGACAGATTAACCTTGTTTGTTTCATTTAGTTCTGTTACAAACGGTATGCAGATCTAAATTCCTTTTCATACAATGAAAGACTGCAGAGACAGTGTAGAAAACCAGACTCATAATCCTAATTACATGAATACTACTTAGATTTATAGTTCTACAGTATTTATATAGATAAGTAGCTAATTTATACTTTCTTCCCATTGTTGAAAACTTATATTTTTCTGCGTGCAACTTCTTCCTACAGTATAGAGAGAGGAGTATGAGATAAATGACTTTAAAAGCTAGATGTTCAACATTTTTCTTTAATTTACTTTTTAAATTAGGCCTTCCTTGACTTTGTATGTCACACAATTTGAGTGTAGAGCTGGAATTTTATTTAGTACTCGTTTACACTGTATTGGGTAACAGCTAGCACTGGAAAAGTTGGCACAGTAATGCCAAATTTTAATATTCTTCCAAGTGGTTTTGCAAAATGAGATACTCCTGTCATAAATGAAATATGGAAGGGACTCCTGTCATAAAGAACCAGACAAGATTAAAGCTCTCGTGCATGGGGATTAAACTTGGCTAGGTGTGTAAAAGTTGGATTTGCTGATCTTGCTCTGAGATCTGTACACATCCACAGTTTAGCTACAGTGCTACTGATTGCCTATACTAAGTTAAATTTGGCCCAATATATATGCAGTGTGGTTTTCTGCCCCTTAAAATCTAGCTTATGATTGGTAATTATTTCTGTAACACATCATACTTACAGGATGAACCAGACCTTTTATTTCTACATAGGGCACAAGACTGAACAGACTCTTTGCAATTCCTGAGTTTAAATTGATCTCTGCTTTCTCTAGGACATCTGCATCTAAGTCCTGAAAACAAAGACATGTTGTTTAGAAAAACAAATACTATGAACAATAATATTTTTTGTAGATTTTAGTATTTTTGCAGTCACTGTACCTTTTCTCTTTCCATGTAATCTTGTATTGAATGTTTTGTAACTTTCAGTCTCACAGTTCCCAAGTTCCTCGCTCTGTGAATCGTTACAAGAATCATAGGCTGAGATGTCTTCTGAATCGCTACCTAAAATCCCAAAAGCACATTTAAAAGGTCTGAAATATTAAAACTTTGGCCTGTGTACCTAGGTAATTATTTAGCTTTCAGCACCATAATCTCTGAGCCCTTTGCTGCCATTTTTCTGTAATTTTTCTTCCATTTTACAGGTGAGGATTGAACTTTTAAGAGTGGCTTTCAGCCCTGACCATAACCCTGAAATGTGGGGGTTTTTGGTGGTGGTTGTTTCCAAGTCCCAGAACTCTTTAGTCTGGGGTTGGTTTTTTTTTTTATTTGTTTGTTTGTTTTTAATTAAGCTCTCCATCTCCCTGTCCTTAGGTTCTTGTTTTTAAGATTAAAATTCCTGCAAGTTGAAGAGTTATGAAATCAACACAGCCTCAGAGAAATGTGACAAGAGAATTTGGGAGGATCAGCGCTGCTGTAGCTATTGCACAAACCAGTACTAGCAGCAGTGGCCCCAGTGTATTTATATTAAAGTGAAAGGATATCACAGAGAAGCCAAGGACAAAAGGTAGAACAAAGGTAAGAATAATCTACATACTCAAAACTGAATCTAGGATAGTTCATGCTAGTCTCTCTTAGTTGCTGGGTACTAACAGCTTCAGAGTATTCTGTAGGGGAAAGACAAAATTGGGATGCCCTGAGGGAAACAAATGCCAACAGATTCTTAATGAACCTCCAAGAGCTGGAGTTTTCAATGCCTTGCCAGCTGGATGACTTAATAGCCCCTGTGAGGGCTCTAGTTTGGATTTGGTGAAATTATATTGGGAGCTGAAGTAAGGAAGGAGAGCATTTCCAGTCTGTTAACCCTGAATGGATCGAAGATTTAGGAAAACCTTTTTCCTTTGTTTTCATACAGAATAAGAAAGTTGAATCCAGAAAGTAAAAGTGAAGGTACTGATATAAAATTTTTCAGTCACCAAGTCTGGAATCTCCTTTAGGACATGAAATAAATGAAGATGATAAGGAGGAAAACGCAAAATCAGAGCATTGTGTGCACTTTTGAAAATGTTAGTCATATTTGGAAACTTAACTAAAAAGGGAAATTAGAATTGGAGTAGTAATTCAGGTTGGATAGGACTTCTGGAGATCATCTGGCCCAATCCCCTCTCAAAGCAGGACCAACTTGGACGAAGCTGTTTTAGGTTCCGGTTGAGTTTAGAATCTCTCTGAGGGTAGAGATGCCACAGCCCCTCTAGGGCAAACTGTTTCAATGTGTGACTAGACCTTACTAAAACTCCCTTGCTCATATTGAACTGGAAATTCTGTTGCAGCTTGTCTGTTGCCTCTTGGTCTGTCGTTGAGACTTCCAGAGTTAATTTAACTTGGTGTCCTCTTTAGTCTCCTTTTTATTTTTAGTGTCTTGTGCTGTACTAAGCAATAACTTAAGTTAAAACTACAAACAATTTTCATGCAATACAAGAATGTATTTCTTAACAGGATTCAGTAGCAGACATAAGCACAGTTCAGACCTTTGTATGCCACAGCTACTTACTCAGGTTGGTGTCTGATAAATCAGTTGGTTTTCTCTGAATGAAGAGAGAACATGTTCTGGTTTTCCTTTCCCGGGTGTCTGTATTTCTTTGAGCATGAAAACAGAATGGTATCTTAGTACCTTTACAACAAACCTTATCAGCATATTATGTTAATGTTTGAGCACTTCTTAGTTGAGGAGAAATCAGATTTACTCACAGAAAGAACTCTACCTATATTAATTATCTCAAAAGGTTATAAGTAGAAGCTTAAATTCAAACTTAACCAACTGCAAGATAATGACCCCTTTAGTTAAAGGACACATTTTGACAAAGGACCCTGACTTAGCAGAGCTGTTAAACGTGCTTAAAAGTAGAGGTCTTGATAATCACATCTTTAAATAGCAAAGTAGCGTGACATCCTATGTATTTGTATATTTGTTCACATATGTTGCATCAAGATATTATCAATAGTAAGGATGATATGGTTTCTTAGTAACTTTGAGCTATTAAGGTTTTAATTTTACTGCTTTTAGATAATTAGAGGAATATTTGAGATGTACCTTCTGACAGGACAAAACCAAAGTTCCTTGTTTGCCTTATTCGATATGCGTATTTTCAATATAGGACATAGTGTCATCAGATTGATTTGGAAAACTGTATACCCATTCATGAAAACAATGATCAGAAAATTGAACTAACTTTCCTTATGTGACAGAGGAAAAAAATGGAAGCTAGGTGAGTTTTACTAGGTAAATATTACACTACTCTGTAAAATATCTGAGAGCATATTTGGATTAATATTATTGTCCTACACTGCATGTATTATACCATCTAGCTTTGGATAGAGATTTAATTTGCCAAAATTTCAAACTCAAATTTCAAAATAACCCATGTGGAACTATCTTATCACACTTGACATTTTTGTAAATGAAACTTTACAGATTGACCCTTAGACTTGAAATATATGCAGATGTATCAATATGCTGTCCTTTCAGGCCTACCAGATTAGTTCATGGCAATGATAATTTCAAATATTTTTTCATTGCTGAACACTGCAATCATGCCAGTTTGGGATGCCGACACTCATTGCTGTATAGAGAACAAAGACAAAGCCTCTTCTCTTAACATGCCATTAAAACAACTCTGTGCCATTTAGGCACTGTAAACCTTATACTGGCCCACTAAGATGGGCTACTTTGTAATATTAATATAATCCTCTTTTTAATAAAATTGATGGGAGTTTTGCCATTTCTCCAGGGGTCTGGTATATTACATACCTTATTTGACTGACTGGTGATAAACTTGAAAACAGATCAGATCATCCTCTCACTTTATATGTATTAAAGACATTTAATGTTTCGTGCAGAGTCCAGCCTAGAGACGTATTGGTGTACATGTATGTATCTGTTCAGTTAGCTGTAGAAAACCACATCTATGACTAGCCAAAATAGGTAATACACTTACCCTTTCATCCTTTCTTCATCAGCATTACATTTTTGACTTAATGTCCCCTGACGATGGGATGCATCCTTTTCCTCAGGTAAAAGGAATCTCTGTTGCAACCAGAAGGCAAAACAAATCTATATGATTGTTTGTATTCCTATGTATGTATAGACAGGATAGTGTGAACAGGGCATCCTTTGCACATCACTTCTATATAGCTTTTAGTTGCCATCAGCTCTACAATTTGATTTATCTATTACAGTTTTAACTGTAGAGCAGATTGGACAAAATACGAGCATCTTTTTGTCTGTGAAGTTGGATTTCAAGACAGGTTTTAATGCTGCTTTGAGAAGGAGAAGCATATATTAATTTCTCTCAGTGCCTTAAAATTAAATATTGCTTGTAGATTTTTGCTTTCTGAACAAATAATAAAGGTGAGCTAGTAAACACAGTTAAGGCTTTCCTGAGAGAAGCAAACTTGATCACAAAATTTAAAAAATGTTTTAGTTTTTCCTTTCTCCTTCAGAAACCAATTCAGCAATGTTATGATAGGCTGTACCTAAAAACCTGAGCCATCATGCTGTGCAAAGACTGAAAAATGTTGTATGATCTCAAAGCTGAGTATGATTATCTAAGTTTAAAAAAAAAAAAAAGTTTGGAAATGGATCTCATACCATTACAGTGGCAGGATGTTTGTTTGCTAGTAGACCTCCTTTTCTCAGAGGTTCTGTTTCTCTTCTGGAAGTTGATTCAGTTCTCTTCTGTAACCTTAATTGGTTAAGGGGAAACCATTTATTTTATTATTCTAATCTCATTGAGATAATTAACACCTATGAAATACTCCCCAGGAGGGTGGAGATGGTATTTAGAATTGTTTCACAAAGTTTTGATGGCTAATCAAGTAAATGTCTGCATCCCTCCCTTTTCTTTTTTTAATTAAAAATACCACACAGATATTGGCAAATATTTTTTTTACTAGGACTGTAATTTGACTAGCCTTTGACTACTCACACTTGAATTTGTGTAGTTGCAATGAATTTTATACAGAGATATTATTTAACTCCTAGTGAAACTGATGGCGGTATTTCAGCTTCAGGAAATACTTTGAGGTCCATAAGATCCAGAAAGGTAGGAATGCCAGGCTGGAAGGAATTCTTGGGTAGGTAGTTACAGAATTCTGTAAAAGTTTTATTCTGGAAATATTCCTGTTGCTTTCAGAGATTCCAGACATCCCTATTTTTTATATTCAGCAAATAATTTTAGGTAGTTTTAAAATAAAAACTTCAATAGCTATTTGAAAGTTTTCACTTACATGTGAAGACAAAAATCGCACTTGTCACCTTCTAAAGAAAATGGATTTCTTTGTGGGATTACATCAGTTGTCTGACGTTTTTCTTCCTCTCTGTCCTTGTGAAGCAATGCAGTTTCACTGCCTCTTCTTTCTGGAGGATCAGCAATGCTTGAAACTACTGAGCTCTGTTCAAAGTAACCATAGCATAGGTACTTGTATGTGGTCATTGCACTGCAAGTACGTGACTTCTACCAGCCAGCATTTTCTGAGTGTCTCTACCTTGGGATTCAGGGAAAAATGTTTTCTAAAACATGGACTATGAAAGCCTTTGGGGTTTTTTTGTGCATTTATGATCCAGGACAAAACACTACCATACTTAGCAGTAAACTCAGTTTTCTATAGCACGATAATGTTTGGTTTTCTAGTAATTCTGCATTTTAGGAATCTTGGACAAACAGTAATACTTCTTCCCAACTAAATGATAGTGATTAATTCAAAAAACAAAGACAGCTTTGTAAAAGCAGCTGCTCACATTTTTCTTATGCTGAAAGAAATGCTTTTGAAGCTAGGATTAAGAATGTTCAGTGTAGTTGTGTTTTTATGCTTACGTTTCTGTTATAATTAATGAAATATTATGGAGTTAATTTTTCTTGGGGGAAAAAAAAACCACAAAATATTTTAATTGAAGTACCATGGTATCTAAAAGTGTTATGCCTTATTAAAGGAGAATGTACAATAGCACTACCACACTGAGGTTCTTGAGACTTGCATCAGTAAAACAGAATAATGTAGTCTTTAAATAAATAAACTCAGAGTTACCTCACAAAGAGAATATGATGAATGGGCAGATTCATAAGAAGTAAGCAAAGAAGACAAGTTGCATTTGCTGTCATCAGTCTGTTCTTGAATGTCTTCAAGCAGCATGCCAAGTCTAAATATTTCCCCTTCCACCTTTCTAAACCCAATTGCAACATACAGTTAGTGAAACCTGTATAAAGATAATTCTTCTTTCTTACCATGATAACCATATTGGGCATTGCAATACACTTCCCATAGGAAAAAATAAATTAATGGAGTTCACTGAGTCTCTTTTAAGAACTTGAATTAATCACTTAGATATCCTAATTATAACTAGGATATGTGAAGCCCAAGATGAATTTTGGCCAAATCACTTGTAGCTTACCACATACAACATTAAGATAATGTTTTCACTTCAGAAAAATTCTAATGGATAAATGAAGTAATGGTTGTAAGACACTCAAAATGTGGAAAAGCATTTGTCTTCTAACCTTTCAGGATCAAATTCTCCAACGTTGATAGACTTGTCCTTGTAGTTCTGCAGCTGCAAATTACGGTGCTTTTCTCTAGCTGTTAAGTAATTCCTTTCCAAGGCATCAAGGTATCTTTTCAATTGATTTAATGCCTTCACCAATAAGAAATAATTGAATAGCAAATGTTATTATTAATGATTTAGCAAGCCATAGTGATAGCTACTTATACTATGTAAGCCAGATGCTATTGGCAGTGATGCTTGTAAGAATTTTGCTACTGCTCTGAACTGGAACAGGACTGCATCCTCTATGTCTACCTCGTACTCTCTGCTGCTCTACTATGTACAAGTGAAATATTAAACCATGACTTCTGATCTGATACCCTACATACCAAAATTAATAATTTACTTGGCAATTGAGGGCCTTTCGATAACAGTTTTGAGTTGTAATCCTTAAAACAGATTTAAGAATTCAGCCATCTACTGAACACATTCATTTTTGCCTCTTAAACTCATAATTTCAGTCTGAGATTGAGAAAAAGAGTATTTTTAAACATCTGTTTGAAGAAAAAGTGGAGTATCTTGCTAGAAAACTGCTTCTACAGCCATTATAAGCGCATTTCAGATAACTGAAAATACATAAATTAATTTACCAGATAGTTGTTTTGTAAAAGGAATGTTTCTTGGGTCATGAGCTTAGAGAAGTCTTCCACCTTCAAGACAAAATATTAGACTCTTATTTGGGATTTTAAAAACTAATATGCCAAATTAATATAGAATTTGAGTATCAGTGCAAAGTATATATTGAAACTCTTTACTTTCTTTGTTAGTTCATCTGTCTGATCCTTTAGTATTTGAGACATCTTTTCTCCTAGTGTTAGTTCTGGCAGTAAATTAGAAAGATCTAGGCAGTGTGCTTCTACTGTACCCGCTGCTGGTAATGCTGATGCTGTTGTTCCACACTGTAATCCTATATAATACAAGATAAGATCAATCAATTGAAATTTCTGGCCAAAAGTGCTATCAAATTACTTAAGTCATTTGCATAGTTACTGTAATTGTATTTACTTGCTTTAGACAAACCATGTGTAGATTGTATGGGTACAGGAGCAGGTAATGTAAAGACTTCGGAGGATGTCCCAGTGCCTCCTGAGTAAATGGCAATGCTGGCATCTGGAAAATCTGCCTGAGGAAGTATCTGTTAAAATGAGAACTTTGGTTATAGAAACAATGTAGAGAACACTTGTGGATGTAAACAAAAATGTTAGAAATAACTCAAAATACATAGGACAAATTATTAATATTAATTAAGTGTTATAACAGCACCATATAATTCTGTGTTTAGTTTGATGTATGTATAGTGTCTTATTGTATAAATACTTAAACACTTTAACTCTATGTTGTGCAAATCTAAAGAGGATTTGTATAAATGGGAAGTACAATAAGAAGGTGACAAAATAGTTTTGGGGAATATTCATAGTCCTAGAGATAAAGCAGATTGAATTAAAAAAAAAAAAAAATCTATTTTGAGAGATTTACCTTAGGATTCAGTCTCAGATGGTCAGTATTCTGGGTGTCAGTGTGGTGTGTCAGCATCTTGTTTGCAGCCAGGAAATAATAGGGAAAACTATTAAAAACTTGTTATCTTGAATGATTTAGTAAGATACAAATCTAGGAATGGACTTAAGCATCTGTATATCTCTCTGAGTGAACCTCATGGCAGGGCATGAAATCGAAAAGTGATTATCTAATTACTAACAGACTGTAGAAAAAATGTACCACAGTAAGAGAAATACTGTCAAACATTTCCTTTAAGACTATTGACTTGTCAATAAATACCAGTATAAACAGTTGAAGAGTTGAAGATGTAAAAAGAGGTAAAGATGCCTTCAACATAAACACAGGCATAGTATGAAAATACATTTTGAAGAAAAACTTTCATTTTAGTACTTTTGGTGAATTTGAACATTTACATATAATGCTAGAAATAACAAATGATAGTGAATTTCCTAATTATTTGATAGGATGCTTTATAATCACAAATAATGCTCCAGAGCATCATTAAATATTTGGTAATCAAAGTTCCATATAAATTCAGTCCCAAAAATTTGTATTTGTGAAAGCAATTGTTGACTAAAGTGATATACTTTCTGATACCTATAGACTGCCTGCATGAACTAGTCATGTTAGATTTCACTGGACGCAGAAGATCTTCTTATGATAAACATCACTCTATCTATTAAGTTTCTTAAAGCATCTTAATTACCTGTAGCTGTTGCAACAGTTCTGGAATGGTCATTTCTTCTTGATTCTCTACTTCAGCAGAGTTTAAATGGTACTTATTTTCTAGAATGTGGTTCACGATTAGGGATTTACTTGGCAAAATAGGGAAGGATTTTGTTCCTTCAGTTGTAGGAACTGAGTTAATATTGTCACTTGGTTTTGGTTCTTTAAATTCTGAAGCAGCTTCAGAGAAGTCAGGAAGGCAATAGTGAGCTTGACCTTGGTCGTATTTGAACTCGTAAGGTGAAACTGTTTTCTTAAACAGGTCTCTCTCTTCTTCCATGCTTTGAAAGATACGTGTATCTTCATTCTCATTAATCAATTGGGAATTTTCTTGTCTGCACCCACACTTACCAGTAGAAGAAATAGGTTTCTTTGAAACACATCTGTTTTCATTTAGTGAATTTTTGTTTTTATCACCAGTGTTTATTTCCTTGTGCTTTTCCAAGTGATATTCAAAACTGGTTGCCCATTGTTCCTGTGCTAAAGGGCCTTCGAGGTGTTCTGAAGGCTCAGGTTTGTTAACAGTGTCATCGATACTTTCGGTAAAGGATGCTTCTGGTATTGTCTCGCATTCAATTAACTGTCCTGTGCTTATTAACTCTCCCTTAGAAAAATGACGCAAAAGGACACTGGACATTTTTGAGTTAGGTAGATGTTCTGTGCTATCTGGTTTAATAAAACCACAGACAGGTAATTCCTTCTTAAGGGAGGCTTCACTTCCAGGTGTTTCAACTGAAATTCCCATTGTTCCTATGGCACCTCTATGGTGACTGGAGAATTCTTCAGGCTGTGGATGAGTTTCATAATTTGCCGTTGCTTTTATGTTTTTGTTATCTTCAGAACAGGCGAAGTTTAAAATACCAGAAATATCTTTTGTACAAGTACAGTCTTTCAAATTACTGGAATTGCTGTATTTACAGGTTATTCCTACATCTCCATCATAAGGTAAGTCATCTTGCTCCTTATCAGTTGCATCTGTGACACAGCCTAATTCATCTGCAAATGAACTACTCATTTGGGTTTTCATCCAGTTTGACAGTTTGTGCTTTCCTGTAGTCTCCATCTCCAGTTTACATAGAATGTGAACGCCATTGCTTCTCCGGTTCTGGATCGAGCTGTTGTTACTGCATGGATCAAAATATGTAATGTATCGAGTAATTATTATTTTATAGTGAAGTACATCTTATTCTCAAATGTATTTGTCTTGTACTTACTGTATGTTTTTTAGAACTATCCCTCTGACATGGATGTTTTCATATTTACACTACTGTAGTCTGGTGTAGCTACTGGAGGAAATAGACAGATGCCAAAAGCACTGGGAAAAGGAGAATTGAGCTGAGTGCCAGGTACCTGTCCTGGCTTTTTAATCCCTCTGTCGTATTTCAGACAAACGCACCTTGGTGACAGAGCCAGCAGTGGTGGGAGAATTCAACCTCGGGTTAAAAAGACAAGAAAAAGAAAATACAATTTCAGAGTTTACCTCCCCACCACAAGGATGTTCCTTCAGCAAACTTCTCTTTCAATTAATTTCTCACCCCATTTTGTCAGGTGAAGGGCAGTGCCGTAACGTGACGCTGCAGCACTGTACCCTGGTCTCGGCTGCAGCAGCGAGGCTGTTTCACCTTCTCTGCGGTGACCAGAAGCAGAAAGAAGCAAACTCACAGCACCGGTTTCCTGGAAGGGCCAGTATCGCTGCGCGGCTGTGCCGGTCCGTGCCCGTCCGTGCCGTCCCCTTCCCCGTGGCAGCGCGGTGCCGCTG